TACGTCTGTAGATCATAAGTAACAATACAGATCAATAAAGTTTAGACTTACTCGCTGGCGTTGAAATTGAGGAGTAACTTGTAATACTCCATCTCCAGTGTCTCCTCCAGGGGTTCCTTCGAGAGCCCCCTCAGGTATTCCTCCTCCTCTTTCAACCACTCTTTCACCATGACCATGTCCCGTGCACCCACTTTCACCAGTGCGCTGTCAACTGCCGATCTCGTGTCCAGTATCTCGAGTGCTTGTTTATAGTTGTTGAGAAGGAAGGTGCCTAGTGGACAATGATCAGTAATGTCACAGTATGAGGGGCGGCACACGTACTGAGGTTTTGGTAAGTCTCAAAGGTGTCCTTGTGTTTCGTGTACTCCACAATGGCTTGACGGCGGTGGAAGATGCTTGAATATCGGGTCGAGCTTGCGAGGGCGTTTGACAGCGAGAAGAAGCGCTCGCAACCCTCTAAATCCTCCAATCCGAGTCCCTCGACATACGTTGCTAGTAAACATAGCTGGCAGAGGCGGTTGTGGGCGTGGCCATGGAATGCACCGACCAGGCAGGTGTGGTTTGCGGCGCGTGCTTTCGGTCCCAGCGAGCTCTTGTTTATTGTGGTCTTGAAGCGACACCCGATGTCGTAGCCGTGGCCAAGGTCAGCCCCAAAGATGTCAATCATCTTGGAGACGATGGCCAGGGGGTACTTGGAGCTTAGATAAAAGGTTAGCGATGAGGTGTGAAGATGGTAACCACAGAAACAACTCACAGTTCGCCGCTGCGCACCATATCTGCCAACACGAGAACAAAACCATGTCGGCAGAGGGCCAAAAATAGGCCGGTCTCTTCGAACATCCCCCACATCTTGGCAGTCAGTTCGGTCTTCATATTGCGCCAGCGTTCGGCACAGGGATTGTCATCGTCATACTCGAAACCCGGGACCTCCTCCATCAACACCTCTTTCGCCCACTCATCTACCTGCTCCCGCGTCAAATAAATGCCACGCCCAGTGGTCCGACTGTCCTTGACTTCGCTCGAAGCCCCGAGGATAGGCTGCGCTACGTCTTCTGTTGTTGCTGGTGCCTCCTCGGCTGTTGGCTCTGGCTCTGGCTCCCTATGAGGGATCCTCTTCATAGAGTCATTGCCGTCTGTGGTGTAAAGCATTGAGAACTTGAGTTTATCTTCATCTTCGAGAATGTAGGTACAGGGGGGACATAAGTGTTTGATGCGGTAGTCGACGCCATCACGTCCTACGGAAGCTTGAACCAATCGGTCAACGGCGGTTCGGATATTGAGATAGAGATCGAAGGCGATGGAGAATTGACGTCGGAGGTAAGGCTTGAATGGTACACAGTGCATGTCGCAGAGGCTTTTGACAAAGGAGTGGATGGAGACATGGGGGCAGCGGAGGTGTGTCAATCGGAAGAGCTCGAGCGCTCGGATGCTGATTGCGGCTATAGGGGAATATGGGGCACATGGCATGAGCCCTTGTCGAATTAACGCGGCACACACGTACACATCTGTTGATAGGTGATAAACTTGGACGTGTCGGAGGCCTGAGATCAGGGGAAGGGTGAGTAAAATAAAAAGAGAGAGTGGCGAAACTCACGGTACACGTCGACTTCACAGATGGTTGTTGTTGCCTGGACTTCAGCATTGGGAGGCAATACATACTCTCCTGAATACCCATCCTCTCCAAGTTGAAGCATCCACCCCATGTAAGCCTCTATCAGTGCTGGGAGCTGGATATTAAATGCGTCGACGCGTCGTTGTGTTCGATCCCTACGTGTACGGTAGTCACGAGTGCGGGGTCGTCTAGCATGGACTCAGAATGTGTATGATAGTACAGAAATGGTGGTTTTACCTATTTGGTGGGCCCAGTAATTCATCTGCAATATCCACAAGTGCGGTGAATTCCCCCCCTGCATGGCTAATGTCTATTGTTTCCGCTCCCGCAAGAATCGCGTCGACATCCATTTCCCAGGCATCATGCTCAATGTTGCTGTCATCAACGCTTCTACTGCCGCTGTCGTTGGTGGTGTTTGTACGGATTGCCTCCAACTCATCTCTTTCCACTGCGGACATAGCATCCTGACGAAGGGTGTGGTCTATGCGATCCTTGGCCTGCCTCTTGTGAATGGCCGTGGCGTTTAGAACCTCTTGTCGTAGGCTGGTGCGACCGCTAAGTGACCGGGAGGTGTATAGGTGGTGGACATGTACGGAGGATGAAGTGCCAGAACGCTTAGTTTTCCTGGACCCAGGGGGTTTACCGAGCGTCATGTAAAGGGTGCTTTGAGGGTGCTTTGAGGGCGCTGGGTGCTTGTTGTCATGTCACGTGCAATCAGTTAGAGATTAGTAGAGGCAGACAACCTCCCCTCCCTCTCTCGTTTAGCCCTTTAAGTACTTGTATATATAGCAAGTGCATTAGGGGTACATATAACAATAAATTTGTGAAAGAAAATATTGTGCCCGTAGACCTCAACATTGCAAATGTGTACGTAGATCTGTAATGGCCATATACTTGTATATGATGTCTTTCATTAGTGCTCCTTCAATAGAATACATTGACTATTCTGGCCTTCCCTCATGTATGTTTCTTGTATGTATGATGTCAGCCATCATGCTGCACCACTTAACAAGTCCAGGCGTGCACTATCTGACTTGATATCAGACATTTTGTATCGTAGATGGACTTGTCAATATGAAGCTCATCACCGGGCCACAACTCCCAGCCAATCAGAGCAGCGGAATCTTCCTCTCACGTAGATCAAAAATTCAAGGGTTCCCCCTTAATGACTCTAATTGAAAGCAGGGTATATTTTTTTACGAGGGGAGGCCTACAAATGTAAAGGCTACTGGTACTAGCTACGGAATATCAACATGAAAACTAGAGAAATGTCAGCAGGTGGGCAAAGGTTACAGTTAGGTTACATAGCGAATGACGAGAAGTTCCATGTAACCGTCAACAAATATTTGGTTTGCGTGCTCACGGGCGCTGGTTCTTAAAAACGACGGGTTTTCATACTGGCCAAAGGCATGTTCTCCCGCTTCACTGTGATATGAGAATTTCAGCAGGGAAATGGGATGGTAATCATAGAAACTAACCGTCCTTGGTAAACCCCAGGAGCCGTGCCGGTGAACACAACCCAGAAATCCTCTTGGTCGGCTCGGAATGATTCTTCACGTGCAATAGCGACGGCTGCAGCGTTGCGGCTTTGCGTTGATGTTGGAGTCCTTGGAGTGGAGGGTGATGGAGTTGGCCGGACAGAGTTGAGATGGTTTGCAGCGCTAGCGTAGGTATGGGAAGATGTCGATCCAAGCGGGGTATGAGCACTGCGTCCCCTATGTGGGGTAAGAGGAGTTTGCGGGGTGAGAGGGGACGCGTTGCGGTTGTTGTATACATGAACACGTTGGGGGGTCGTAGCCGGGGCCGAAATACCACGCGCTGAAGGAGTTGGCGGCTTCGGATATGGCTTGGAGCCTAATGACGCTGCCACGTCAGGAGGGAGTCGACCGGTATTTGTAAATCCTTCCCAGGCGCTATGAGCACCTTCATACGAGCTGTACCCTTTGTATATCTTGGCCGAGCTTGCAAGCCCAAAGATAGCAATCGAGGCAGCAGTCCTAGAACAAAACTTCATCTATTATATTTCAGGAGACTAACTGAACACATACCAGTTATAAAATACCCCAACGTCATTTCCTGCATAAACGACATAGGCTACCTTGCCATGTGTGGATTTCGGTTGCTTGAGATACCTGTGTGGTGGAGCTGGGGCAGGGGAACTGGTGCGATCATCGTTCTCTTCCATCTCACCTCCAGCGCCATCTGTGTTCAACCTAAACCTGTCGTCGATAGAGGTTTGGGCCACATGTGTAGCAGAGCCAATGAAGGCCTCGTCCCCATTCGTTTCCGGTTCTGTGGTAGGAGATCAACCAGGAGTAACTAGAGATGGGGCACTTACCATGCTTGACGGCATAGGGCGACCCAAACCTTTGACCAGTGGGTGGTTGCGCACGCAAAGGGAAGTCTGACAGTGCAATGTCAATGAAATGGGGAGGTAGGTACACTGCAGACGACTTACTGGGCATAGCGTACAACGAGAACAGAGGTGTGGCGAGGTAGGGGACTCAAAGACACAACGTCGATGTTGTGATGAGGAGCAAGAAGTGTCACGGTTGGTTGATTGTTGATTGTTGATTCACCTACACGTGATGCCAAACACTCGTCAACTCAACGTCAACTGCTGCTCATCCCACCATTGCCCCCAATGGCCTCACGCTCCTCATCCCCGTATGTCGTACCTGCAGAAGAAGATCCGTCTACTCACGCAGGCCGCAATTCTTCCCAACCTCAACAACAAACACGAGTTCTAACGAAAAACACGCTGTCGCAAGCTCAGAAAGCCACG